TTGCTGTAATACGCGTTCAAATTTATGAAATGGTGGGAGGTTGGTGAGGCGCCAAATGATTACATACTTTTGAGGGAGGCGTAGTAACATCAAGTTTGGAAACTACTGATTTAGATGATGATGTTTGCTTGTTTTAGGTAAAGGCCGTGTGATCGTAAAGGTGAAGCAGCGATCCGAGACGGCCGCATTTGTGGAAACGTCCATCGAGGCCATAGTGATCCGACAGAAGAGGATCATAGATGTCGTTTTCCACGTGTCCGTCGCGATCCTGGTGACTGTGATGTACGTCAATTTCGGATGCGCGCTCAAGTGGAATGAGCTGAGGAATAGCCTGAAGCGACCCGTCGGTCCGGCGATCGGTTTCATCGGCCAATTCCTCTTCATGCCGCTGGTAAAACCGACGATACGACCGACGGAACCTGTACCTTTACCCTCTCTGATCCGCAGCTGAGCTTCTTCATCGGACGTCTCCTCTTCCCGCGCAATCCCGAGATGCAATTGGGTATGTTCTTCACAGGAGTTTCACCTGGTGGAGGTGCGTCGAACATGTGGGCCGTCATCCTTGGCCTGAACATAGATCTGTCCATCACCATGACGACCATAAGCACGTTCGGTGCGTTCGCTATGATGCCCATATGGTTGTTCACGCTCGGAAAGGTCATCTTTGACGATGCCAAACTCGATGTTCCCTATCAGATGATCTCCATGTACGCAATGACTTTGGTCATACCTCTATTCATCGGATTCCTCATACAGAAGTACATGAAACGCGTCGCCGCCTTCTTGGTCAGAATATTGAAAGCCTTCTCGGCGCTTCTGCTCATCTTCATCGTCGTCTTCGCCATCGTCACAAACCTCTACCTCTTCAAGCTCTTCTCCTGGCAGGTAATAATCTCAACAATAAGCAACTATTACTTATAAAGATGACATTAAATCCAACTAACTCTAATTTTTAGTTCTTCGATATTGTGTGAAAAACGGTATATGCTTTTAGAAATTTTCATCAGAATTATCATCTTGTAATCTTCAAATTGTAACTACTACCAAATTTTCAGATCCTGGTAGCAGGTTTAGGACTGCCGTGGCTAGGATACACCGTTGCCTGGTTACTCGCCGTCTTCTTCAAGCAACCAAACAAAGACGCTTTAGTCATCGCCATAGAGACGGGTATCCAGAATACAGGCATCTCCATATACCTTCTCCGGTTCTGCCTGAGTCAACCGGAAGCGGATCTGACGACCGTCGTTCCCGTCTCCGTCGCTATAATGACACCAATCCCTCTGCTCCTACTCTGGATCGCGCAGAAGTTTCGCAACAGGTACGGCGCAGAAAGCCTAGGTTTGTTGAACAGCTCTGAGTGTAAGTTTTCCGTAGATGCTTCAAGAAACGAAAGTACACACCACACGAGAACTCCGAACTGAACAGTCCCCTCTCCGAGATGAGCGTCGACAATCATTTCGCTCCGTCGACGATCTCTTAAATAACAAATTCAACTTCCACAAATCTTTAACACTTTTCTCTATATCTTCTCTATAAGAAAAAAAAAACTAATGATAAAAACTCTGCATCTTCCTTCTGTCTCTTGTCGTGTACGTGCGTGTATCTATTTGTTTGATAGTAAAAGAAAAAAAAATGAAATAAAAAATATAAATATTATCGAATAACGAAGGATGAAAGCACTTTGTTATGTAAACTCGTTGTACTTATAGAGAGCCAATACCTAAGAATAAGTTATAATATCGATATGACTATTTGGGATCTACCTACTTAATAATAAAAAAATATATTGTGATGTTAATTCATGTAATGGTAATTATATGTGTATAAATATAAATATATATATTATTTATAAGAAGAGTTCTTCCAGATTTTGAATTGTAAAAATTATATCGATGTAAATTTATTAAGTAAAACAATAAAATTCTATATTTAAATAATGCATCTTCCTTTCCATTTGATAAATAATTTAGTATAAATATTACTTCCAATGTCAACTTAAGTCAACTTTAAATTATTTATTTAGCATTTGTGGTTATCGAGTAATTAATTAAAATGTGAAGGCTTGAAGAAAGTTCGAAAAATCGTAATATCTCAGTTATTAATTATCGTAACGTAATAATAATTATATCAAAAGATTCATAATTGGAAACTGATTCTGATGTATTCATAAAATTTATACAAAAATTGGCAGTTGTCAAATTATGATTATATCACAAAAATAATATTAAAAGAAAACAATATTACTTAACTTTGACACTTCATTACAAAAGATTATCAATGACCACTAATCTATCAGAAAACTCATTGGAGATATCATAGTTTTATCTTTAATAAGAATTTTAAATTATTTATTTAACATTTATGGTTGTCGAGTTGTCAATTAAAATGTGAAGGCTTGAAGAAAGTTCGAAAAGTCGTCATATCTCAGTTATTAATTATCGTAACGTAATAATAATTATATCAAAAGATTCATAATTGAAAACTAATTCTGATGTATTCATACATTATATAAAAAAATTGACAGTTGTCAAATTATGATTATATAACAATATTATTAAAAGAAAACAATATTAGTTAAATGTGACAGATCATTACAAATGATAGATAATAACAACAAATATGTAAGGGAATTCGCTGGAAAGGCGATAGTTTTATTTTTAGTAAGAATTTTAAATGATTTATTTGACATTTATGGTTGTCGAGTAATTAATTAAAATGTGAAGACTTGAAGAAAGTTCGAAAAATCATCATATCTCAGTCATTAATTAAAGTAACGTAAGAATAATTATATCAAAAGATACGCAATTGAAAACCACTTCTGATGTATTCTTAACATATATAAAAAATTGACAATTGTCAATTTATAATTAATATTTGATAAATGATGTTTGTTTAAATATTACTTAACTTTGACAGCTTATTATATAATAATGGCAATTACCACTAAAGTGATAGAATTCTAATTGGAGAAGGCATAGATTTATCTTTAATGAGTATTTTAAATGATTTACTTAACATTTGTGGTTATCGAGTAATTCATTAAAATGTGACGACTTGAAGAAAGATCGAAAAATCAGCATATCTGTCATTAATTAACGTAACGAAACATAAATTACATCAAAAGATGCGTAATTGAAAACTGCTTCTGCTGTATTCATAAAATATACAGTTTGTAATTATTATTTGATAAATAATGTTTGTTTAAATATTACTTAACTTTGATAGCTTATTCCACAATGATGGCAATGACCACAACAGTGATAAAAGGCTCATTGGAAAAGCAATAAATTTATCTTTAATGAGCATTTTAAATTATTTACTTAACATTTGTGGTTGTCGAGTAATTAATTAAAATGTGAAGACTTGAAGAACGTTCGAAAAATCGTCATATCTCAATCATTAATTAACGTAACGTAACATAAATTACATCAACAGATGCGTAATTGAAAACTGCTTCTGATGTATTAATAACGATAATATTAAAATGAAACAATGAAATTTAGTTCGTTCACAAAATTTTATTATCTAATATAATTACAAATTATTTTATCGAAACTCTTGAAGTTCTCAATCCCTTTGTTTATAATGTAATCAATCTAATTTAGTAACAAAAGTGGTCAATCGCCACAACACGTAATGTATTTCAATTATCTTATTAGAAACTAAACATGTTTACTAGTAAGACGTAATTCCTTGATCCAATGAATTGTATTATTGCCATTAACGTCAATGGGGGAAATTCCATCAACGAAAGAGATGAATGAATTGTTTAATTGATAAAAAAAAGTAAATTTGGTTGTTGTTAATAGTTTAAACTACTTTTGATGTGATGAGTGAAGTTTAGAATTTGAATAAAGAAAATGTCTTTTTCATTCATAAAATGTGAAATTTCAGTTGTAAATTGTAAAACTGTCATCAACAAACAAAAAAAACAGGGATGAAATGAGTAATGGATACAAGTATAAATTTTTTTTTTTTTGATTGATAAAAAGTAAAATTCCAGTTTATTTTCTCCATGTGCTCTCATCATGCTACACCGCACGAAAAGTAAATTTTAAAACAAAAACAAACAAATAAAACAAAAGATGTACACTAATAATTACGAATCAATAAAGTGGTCAAAACGAATCTCGAATTAAGACTAGACTAGAACAAAAAAAAAATAATAATAATTAATGATATATATCTATATAAGTCACCAAAATAGGAAACGAGTAAACTGTACATGACCAAAAAAAAATATACAATAATAATTGGAAAAAAAAATAAAATAAAGATATGAACTAGAACAACGAATAAATTAAGTACGTATATAGGAGATGGTTGTATCACAAACGAAACCTAAAGAAAAAACAAGCGATTTAAGTACAGCTTAAGCTTACGGTTTCAGAAAATTTACAAAAGTATTGTTGTTGTTGCTTCTGTCTTAAGACGAAACCGCACAATCTCATCTACACGCGTTTTTTTTTTTGTTCTGTTCTTGTTTTAGTAAATACGTATAAAATTTCATTGTATATAATTATATGTATGTTTATGTAAAAAAAAAATCTATACTGTAAACATTCATTTCCTCGATCGAAGCAAAACCAAAGAAAAAAACAAAAGAAATGTTGTCCTTTGACTGTACACGAATCGAGAGGGCGTAATCGTAATTATTACACGTAACTACGGCAATGAAAGTAAACAAAAAAAAAACAAAATACAAGCGTTTTAAGTACAGCTTAAGCTTACTGGAAAAAATCGCAACTGTATGGTTTAGTCGCAGTAAAATACGTATAAAATTTCATTGTATATATATAAAAACAATAGAAGAAGAAGAAATCACACACAAACACACCTTTCCCTACACTTTCGACGCGAAACGTGTCCGTAACAAAATAAAAAATTAAAGAAAATGGAAATTTATCCGAAGCTTTTACAAAAAAAAAATAATAATAATTAAGGAATGTTGACTTGATTGGTAATCTCAAAAAAAAAATTATTGCTGAAAAATGCGTCGTGTCCATCCAACGAATACTCATTTTTGTTCTCTCTCTATATATATAAAATATAAGGCGCGTTAAAGTCGATTATCCTTTTTGCTGCACATGAAATAAACAGCGGGTTTTCTTTTTTTGGATTGTGTTTACGTGTCGATGAAGTTGCTCTGTCCGTTTTCCTTGTTTGTTTTCTTTTTGTGATTGTTGTAGATCATCTGGAGCGGCACGTGCAGAAGTTCGATTATTCGCGTGTAATAAGGTTCTGAAATACGCAGAAATATTAAGATTTCTATGTAAGTATAATTTGTTGATTTGCTACCGTTTTCTGGAGAGACGAGACCGTGTCTGATGAGAAAATCTAAGATGACTGGTATACTTGTAGTCTTGAAGTCTGGGGAGAAGAGACGTTCCACGCATTGGGTCACAGGCAGCAGCTCGAACTTCTCGACTTCTCCGTCCTGGTTTTGTGGCACGAAATCCAGAGGAAGTTCTAAGTCGTACACGAACTCGGTGTTGGGGAAGAGTCCACGTTCCGATTCAAAGTAGAATCTGTAAAAAAGTTGATTGTATTAAGATTGAATTGCTTATGTCTAAATGTGTCTTACGAGACGCATCCAGCGCTGATCAAGTTCTTCATCAATTCCGGAGGAACGGACGCTTCTTCCATAGCCTCCTTGTGCGCCGTTTCGAGGATACCGTGACCGACGGACAGACCACCCGAGATGATGTTGTCCCATTTCCCGGGCCACGTCTGCTTCGTCGCCGATCTCTGCTGCATCCAGATGCAGAGACCCAGATTAGGATGTTTCACGTATCCGTTGATGTCCACCCCGTAGTTCCGTATACCGAAGAGGCACGTAGCGGATCTGTCCATGCGAAGAAGGCTCTCCGTGTTGAACTCCCGACGCACCTCGTAGCACTGAAACAGCCATCCACTTTCTCTAAGTCAACCGTCCACGACGATCCACGAGGAAAACCAAATACCTCATCCCTCCAGCCCTTCAAAGCTATGAACTTTCCCTCGCATCGCAACTGCTTCAGCACATCGTTCACCTTGTTCGTCCTCTCCTCGTACTCCCTAAACGCAGGGTTCAATTCCACAAACACAGGGGTCACTTTAAATACCTAAAACATACATATTTTAACTCCATAATGGCAAAAAACATTATTACTTATTGATAACATTACAAGAGTAAATAACTTTTTCTTATAAAATAAGTACCTAAGGAATTCAAATCAAGTAGTTGATAACATGTTTCTTTTGTTTACATTTGACTTACTCAATGTCACAGCAAATAAATAGAGTTATCTGAAGAGGTTGAAAACAAAAATAACACAAAACAAGATTGCATTTAGAAATGGGTGTGAGATGTGTGATAAGTTGTGTTGTTGAAAGTAATAATTACCTCTGGGAATCGGACCAACTGTTTGATAACGTCCGGCTTGACAAGGCCAACCTGGAAGCCTTCGACTATGAATGGTATGCACTCATCGGATTTCAAGCCTGGAAATGTGTTGAGAGAACATTTTCAATAATGCATGGATGGGTGTATGCTGCTGCATGGTACATGGGAATCAATATTGTGTTTATAACACTGTGGAGGAAAAAAAAAAGGGGGGCATGTGTGTTGTATGTATATAGTGATATGGGTGTGTGTGTATGTATGTATATGCAAGAAAATGGCCAGATGCTTCTGTTGGTGATGGGTATAGGTCTTGCAGATGGATTCACCATGGTTACCTGACAAGTAGAAACAGTTGAACTTCTGGGCGAGTTTCATCAGTCTCGAGATATTCTGGTTTTCAAGCGACATTTTGCAGAACACTGACATGTTTTCCTTCTGACCATTACGACATCCGACAGGCGGACCGGCAGCAGCGGCGGGGATACTTTGACAGTTCCTATTGGATTCGGATAAGAGGCGACCTCTGCTCGTCGCAACATCTACTAAACTAGTAAACAAATATATACAGGGTGATTCCATTAAACTTTCCTTAACCCTTTGTGCACCAGTGGTTCCATCATGCGACCACATAAAGAGCAATTAATATGTCCAAGCTTTTTATATTCCAATGTTTTTTCAAATACTAAAGAATTACATATTTTTAACACAATTTATCCAAAAAATCGTCAGTTTTGAGAAAATTAAGTTGGTGGAACCACTGAGAAAATTGTTTTTATTTTAAGTTTCACGAGAAATAAATTATTGGAACCAACTATTTTCTATTCTAAAAACTATAAATAAATTAAAAAATATCATTTAAAAAAATCTTACATTAAAAAAAGTATAACAATTTTAAAACATTTAAAGATTACATAATAAGCAACCTTTTATTACGCATCTTTTGATATAACTGCATTTACGTAATGTTAATTAATAACCGAGATATTTAAAATTTTCCATTTTTGTTCTAGTCTTTGTTCATTATTTAATTACTCGATAACAACGAAACCTAATTAGATCATTTAACTTAGAATTTAAAGATTAAGCTTTGGCCTTTCCAATAAGCTAAGTTTTGTGCTAATCACCATTCTTCTATAATAATTTATTAATTATTAATTTTGTTTAAATGAAATCATTTGTCTTATGTACATTTGGTTGCATATATTTGCATTAATTATCAATTAAAAATTGAACTTTGTTACTAAACTCACCAAATTGAAGTTGAAACTTTTGATTAATTTTTATAGTTTAAGTAAATACATAGCAATAGATTTTCAATTCTCTAATTACTTAAATAGGCAAAGAAATTATTATTTCATAATTTTTTAGACAATAAATTACAGAATATGAGCAGTAGTTACAAATATGAAAATTGGAAATTCCAAACATTTAGCTTTCATTTGCATGCTCATTCATTGTTGTGTCTTGTATAATTATTAAGAAAATTGATGATTTGTGAAGACACTCAATTTTCCAAGGCTTCAAAAAACCATTTTCAACTTTGACAGTAAATTACAGAAAATCAGCAATAGTTACAAATATGACAAATTGCATTTAGGAAAGTCCAAACATTTAACATTAATTTGCATGCTCATTCATTGTTGTGTCTTGTATAATTATTAAGAAATTGATGATTTGTGAAGACACTCAATTTTCCGAAGCTTCCAAAAACCATTTTCAACTTTGACCGTAAATTACAGAATATAAGCAATAGTTACAACTATGACAAATGGCACGTTAGATAGCCCAAACATTTAGCTTTAATTTGTGTACTCATTTTTAACTGTGACTTGTATAATTATTGAAAAATTTATGATTTGTGAAGACACTCAATTTTCTGAGGCTTCAAAAAAATATTTTCAACTTTGACCGTAAATTACAGAAACTCAGCAATAGTTACAAATATGACAAATTGCATTTAGGAAAGTCCAAACATTTAACTTTAATTTGCATGTTCATTCAGTATTGTGTCTTGTATAATTAATGAGAAATTGATGATTTGTGAAAACATTCAATTTTCCGAAGATTCAAAAAAACAGTTTCAACTTTGACTGTAAATTACAGAACATCAGCAATAGTTACAAATATAACAAATTGCACTTAGCAAAGTCCAAACATTTAACTTTAATTTGAATGCTCATTCATTATTATGTCTTTCATAATTATTGAGAAAATTGATGATTTGTAAAGACAATCAATTTTCTGAGGCTTCAAAAAAACATTTTCATCTTTGACCGTAAATTACAGAAAATCAGCAATAGTTACAAATATGACAAATGGCACTTTGGAAAGTCCAAACATTTAACTTTCATTTGAATGCTTA